ATATTTTCAAAAACGACTTAAAATGAAGGGGATACCATATGGTATGGACTTGGTAAGGAGAGGTATGAACAAAAATTATCAAAAAATATTGAAAATTGATCTCATATTGTAGAGTACAACGAAGTCGTTCCATTTGTGCAAAAAAAATTGAAATCCGAGTTAGAACGAATAGGATAAGAGTCGAATAAGAAAATCAGGGAAAATAAAATGACTTTAATTCACAACACTTAGATCCAGATTTTCTGGATCCACTTAAATCCAAAGATCCAGATTTAGTTAATTATGGGAGAGTAACCAATGGTTACTGACCCTATCTTGAGCACCATTCTCATATTTGTTTATTCACCGTGCTAATTATGGGCTTGGTAATGAGAGGTATGAACAAAAATTATCAAAAAATATTGAAAATTGATCTCATATTGTAGAGCACAACGAAGTCGTTCTATTTGTGAAAAAAAAATTGAAATCCGAGTTAGAACGAATAGGATAAGAGTCGAATAAGAAAATCAGGGAAAATAAAATGACTTTAATTCACAACACTTAGATCCATATTTTCTGGATCCACTTAAATCCAAAGATCCAGATTTAGTTAATTATGGGCGAGTAACCAATGGTTACTGACCCTATCTTGAGCCCCATTCTCATATTTGTTTATTCACCGTGCTAATTAGCTTCTTTAATCTTTCCATTTCATGTGTTGTGACCTCATGCGTGATGCGCCTAGCACAATTGAATTATGATTTATCAAACAATCAACAACGTAACATGGCGCTTTTCTTTGCCATTCTTTTAGCTTCCATGTGATATTTATGACTTTGCTATGGTGACTTTCAAGTCACCGTAACTTGGACAAAGCGGTCGACCTGTTCACTGATGAGGTGGACCTGTTTGGACAAAACGATCGACCTCTTCACTGATATGGTCGACCTATTTGGACAAAATGGTCGACCGGATGTACTATTTTTCATTTTCTATGTTCAACGAACGGCCAACCTCTTTCACTAAAAGGCACTATACAAAAAGAAAAAAAAGTCTACCACTTCCATCAAGTGGTCTACCTCTTTCTCCAAGCGCTCCACCTCTTTCAATAATTGATCCATCTGATGAACCATTCCTAGTGATAGTATCATATATAACTAGAGTCCAATAACAATAGATATGCCTTCAAGTAAGAGATTTAAATTTAGTACAAAGGCTGCAAGCATATTGAATGTTCTCTCGTAGATTTGAAAAATGTTACACATAATTATTTCTTATGTTTCATTACTACAAAAACAATTTTATATTGTTGGTATCCTATTAGCCATTATTTTCCTAATACAATTATAAGGTAACTGTGTTATCTGGTCAACTGGTCGACGAACGAGGATATCATTTGCCGAAAGAGATATGTAAACCATTTAGCAAGATCGGTAGGCTGTTTTGGCGGAAGAGGTCTACCTCCTCCAAAAATCAGTTGTAAGTCGATGGTAAGTGTGCCACATGTCGAACCATTGCCAGAAGCGGTAGACCGCCTGCCTCGAGTGGTATACCACTTGGTGGAAGAGGTCGACCACTTAAGGTAATTGTGTCAACAGGTTAACCCATTTCAGAAGTGGTAGACCGGTTGACTCAAGTGGTATAACACTTGGTGAAAGAGGTCAGCCATTATCGTGGAAAGTGGTCTTCCGGAAGTGGTAGACCGGATGACTCAAGTGGTAGACCACATAGTGGAAGAGGTAGACTATATTTTTGGAAAGTGATCGACCACTTTATAGAAGAGATCGACCGTTTCCTCCAAGTTACGGTGACTTGCAAGTCACCATAGGCATACCCTGATATTTAACTAAAGTGGAATCATAAAACCAGCCATCATAGACACCAATCTGCATAGCTTTATCATAATAATTTTGCTGAGAGCCAATTGTCTTCATGCATGAATGTTTTAGAAGAGACGGATGCTTGTTTCATATTTATTACCTGCAAAACTATTTCAACTGAGAAAATGATGTTTCTAAAACTTCTGATAAATTCAGGTAAACAAACATAAATATAGATATAAAATATCAATGTTTTACGAATCAGTATAACAAACTGCTCACAAAAACAAGAATATTGTAAATAAAACACACATAATTATACACTAAACAATAATATTCAAAACAAAAAAGTATGATTATACAAATTGCTTAACTCCAAACTATAATATTATTATTCTCCAAAATAGAAAGAAAATTTCTTTAATAGAAAATATATATATAAAGGAAAACTTGGAAAAGAACAAAGAAAGAGTCAACTAGTGTTGCAGTTTGCTGCTTGAGCGCCTACGTGCGCCTTAGATCCTTCGCGATTCAACGCTGCTTCTCTCCCCCGCCCTTCCCTTATCTTTTGCTGCAGAAGCTACCGCCTGCTGTGTTGGAATCGACTCTCAAATCCACAACACTATCACAACCCTGGCCACCATGAGGCTTGGATATCTGCCGTTTCAACGCATTAGCGCACCACCAGATCTATGATTTTAGAGATTTTCCTATTCCTTCCTCCTCCTCACTGTCATCTCGGAGCCGCCAACCAACATTGTCGTTGCTTCTCTGTCTCTGCAAGGTATATTTCTTGCTCTTTTCTGTTATTGTGTTTTTATTCTTGGATGTAGGATTTGCAAACAAACCCAAACCCTATCCTTCTCCTCGCCTTTTGAGCAACGCCTCCATTCTTCCCGACTTCACTCCCGAGATCATCCAGCGTAAGTCTGTCTATCGGTCCCGCAGGAAAGTCATCAAATTGCCTCCTCTAAGTCAACCGTCCAAATGAGGATCCCTATCGCTTTGCCAGTTTCCTCTTCATAACACCTAAATTGGTGTTATTTACCCTTCATATTGAGGTTTATTTCATGTCAATTCATGTGCATAATCGTTTGAATAGCGTCGATTGCATCCCTATTTCGTTTCTATTTGATTATTAAGTGATTTTAGGGTGCTTTAAACAATACATGGGAATTAGGTACGGAAAAAAGACAAGTGTAGAAAAAGGTACATAATGCTAATGATCGTGGCCTAGAGATGGAGATCACGGCCGAGAACAAAGATGGCAAAATCAAGGCAAAGATCGCGGCCTGAGGACCTAAGATCGTGGCTGCAATCTTGGAGGCTTAGGGTGCGAACTTCATGAAGAAGCCAGCGAGGAGAAACAGAGAGTTTCCCCAGTCTGTTCACGGCCACAGTTCATATTGACCACGAGGAAGTTTGCTTCTGCACTTCATGGATCACGACCGTGAATTCAGCTTGCGAACTCCTCGTCCCTGAAGGCCAAAACAGCAGCGTCGGTAGATCACGGCCTCAAGGTCGAAGATCGCGGGCCGCTATCTCCATGCTATCCGGCCGCGAACTTCTCCATCCTCTGAAAGCTATAAATAGAAGACCCTCTTCACCTATTAAAGAGAGCTGATTTGGAGATAGAACTTCTAGTAAGATAGAGAAAGAAGAGAGAGAATCTAAAGGAAGGAGAAGAGAAGAAGGAGGAGGAGTAGCTAGAAAAGAGGAGCCATCTTACTCAACATCAAGTCTTCCCCAATTTCCCCCAATTTTTTCTATGTATCGTCTTCCCTATTTTATGGAGCAGTCCTCTAAGGTATTAGGGGTTCTAAACCCCAAACCCTAGTTATAGGATTACTATGTAATTAATGGATATTTTAGCTTTTTAATGAATGAATGTGTTTATCTAGTTGATTTCATTGATTCTCTAGCTTTGATTGTGTTTGGGTAAGTCGCTCTAATCTTCTCTACTAGCCTACTTAAGCTTCTACGCTGGGTATGGAATTTTAGCTCATTGAAAGGAGCTATGTGCTTAATGCCCCAGATACCATAGCCTAGATCGAGGTGACTAATATGGTTTTACGGGAGGCGTGTAGATAACCACGAAAGCCCGCGGAAAAGAGCTCACTCACCACATTTCACAAACCATATTTATCTAGACATTGCATAGTAGACCTAGGCTAGGGTGAGGGATAGTTCCCCCAAGTACCTGCTTTTATCCTTAGTAGTTCTCTCTACTAGTATTCTACTTGAACCCTCCATCACAAACCCTTAAACCGACCGGCTAGCTAACACCAACGTGAGAAGTAGGCCAAGGTATCGAAACCCGAGTGAATACGACCGTGATTGCCACTATATGACAATGCCACTCTAGGTTAAACTTGTCCTAGGATGGGGTAGTTATTGAGACTTGCTAACTGTTGACAATGACTTGCACGGATTGAATCGATCACCTCTCTTCGGCAATATTCAGCGGCAAACAAACTTCTCAGGTGACTCTCACTCACAAATCCTCACCAACTCATAAGATAGCGAACAATGTAGTTAGGCCGATGATTATATATAACACTACGGTCATTGATAAGATAAATCTGGCAGATTAGCGGGACAATTCATTTGGGGATATTTTAGAGGAAGTTCTATGGTGGCTGGCACTATACAATGGTTTTCCCGTACGTTTGGTAGGTCGGATTAGCAATAGGGTAGCCTATTTGATGGCTAGAAAGACAGGCCTTTGTATTCGACGTCATGACATTCTTTTAATTTTTTTGTCCTGCCTTCATACCATGGTGTAATTTTTTCAGTCTTTTATTCAGTCAATGTAAGATCTGTTTTTTTCAAAAAAGGAAAAAATTCATAATTTGAATATTCGCTTTTGAGTGCAATCAGCATTATAACTTTTTTTCATATATCTCTTATTTTCTCAGTAATACCAATGATCCTTTAAAAAAATCACAAAAATTGATACACGGAGGTGTGCACATTTGACCCTTTACTTTTCAATAAATTCCTTAGACTTTTCCGCAGTTACTAATTTGCTCATAAATATAAGGCAAAATAAACTTGTATAGGCAAAACTTTCGCGTTTGTGCCAATAATAGTCAAATTTGGAGAAATATCACTTATAGCCATTTTCGTCCAATACTTTAATGGTGTCATCTAACAGGGTGACTGGACTAACATCAACGGTTGATGTGGCCTATTTTATTGGGGGAAAATGACAGATAGAAAAATATTAAAGTTTATCCTTTAAGTTTAATTAAATTAAATAACAAATTATAAAAATAAAAAAATTCATAGAAAAGGAAAATAAAAAAAACAATAATCTCAGTCCTCTTCCACCGCCTCGTCACCTTTCCATCTTCAAAATCGGTGTTGTTGTTCTCTCTTCTCTCTGATTTCTTCATCTCCATCAATGAAAAACAACACAAAATTCATTTCTTCTTCCCGAAACGATGACAACCCACAAAACAAAACACTTTCTTCTCCACTCATCTGGAGCGTCTTCTTTCTCTTTCAAAAACATCCAGATGATTTCTATATAAAAAACGCCCAGATCGGTCAATCGATTCTTCTTCCCTTCTCTGAGTCAGAGTGTGGTTCGGGTTGGGCGGGGATGGGAAATCGAAATTGGCGGAGCCAGGGCTTGAATCTATGGAGAACGAGAACCAGTGGCGGAGCTGATGCTTGAAAAGAGAGAGGAAGAAGCTAACTATCAGATCTGGTCGATTTTTGTGTTGATTTTGGGGGTGCTTCAACAATGGAGGATTAGAGGAAAGGTCGAATTTTTTTTTTTTTGGGAAGCTTCAACGATGAAGGACGACGATGAACGGTGGGGGAAAATTGTACCTGGACCAAGACGAAGAATAATAGGATTCCGATTTTGGGAAGCTTCAGCGATGGAGGATGAACGATGAATGGTGGCTGATGCGGCTGCAGCTCCAAGCTGTTATTTTGAAAAGGGATGAAAGAAAAAGGGATTTGGTTTGAAGATGGAATAGAAAATGTGCTGGTTTGAATTGGGATTTGCTTGGGAAAGAAAGAAGAGGGATCGAAGATGAAATAGAAGGCAGGGGAGGAATCAAAAGATTTTAATAAAAAAATTAAAATAAAATTTGACGTGTAATTATTAAATAATTTAAAATGAGGATGTGTCACTTTTGGCTTATTTGGTGCTGACGTCTCCGCTTAGTTGGTGCTTAGTCAACAACCTTCAAATAAGTTAACGGAGTTAATAACACTGTTAAAGTATCTAACGGAAATGACTATATTTGTCATATAACAATTTTAAAAGGTGGCTATTAGAGGTGGCAATTGGATCGGATTCGTGGATTCGTGGATTGGATTGGTGGATCCATGGATCAAATGGATTGGATCCAATGGATTGGTGGATTCATGGATTGGATCAAATGGATTGGTGGATTGATCCATGAATCCAAATGACATCAAAGGCTTGGACCAAAATGTAAAATTTGAAAAGTTTTGGTACTAAAATGTCATAATGAAAAATTTTAGGTACCAAAATGTAATTTTCCAATGATATTTTTCGTATAGAAATATAAATTTTAGATACCAAAATGTAAAATATAAAAAATATAGGTACCAAATCGTAATTTGCCATTTGGATCCATGGATTGATCCATGAATCCACCAATCCAATTGGATTTGGATCAAATGGATTGGATTTAAATGGATTGGATTAGGTGGATAATTTGGTGGATGGATTGGATTGGATTCATGGATTTGGATCCTAATTGCCACCTCTAGTGGCTATAAGTGTTATTTCTCCAAATTTAGTTATTATTGGTACAAACGCAAAAGTTTTGGCGATACAAGTATATTTTGCCTAGATATAATCAAATTCTTCGCTGGTCACCGTTATATATTCTCTTCGGTTCTCTTCTTTCCACCTACTGCAGCAGGAGAACAAAACCCCCAAAAAACTAAAACCGGGGATTTCCGAGAAGAAGCGTCTCCCAGACGACGGGGAAAATGGAGGTGGCGTCCTTCCCGATTATCAGAATCGCAGCTATTTGCGGGTCCCTTCGTCAAGGCTCGTTCAATCGCGGCCTCATCAGTTCTGGTACTCGGGTTTCCACTGATTTCCCGAAAAAAATCTGATTCTAATCTGCAACTTTGTTGATGGTGAATTTTTTAACTGATAGCGCTTTATTTGGGGTTTGGTTCCTAATCGGCAGCGCTGGATTTGAGCAAGCAGGTGGTGAGCGGGATGGAGATCGAGTACGTGGAGATATGCCCTCTGCCGATGCTGAACACCGATCTGGAAGGACCCGGTGACAGTTTCCCCGACGCGATTGATGCTTTCCATCAGAAAATCAGGGAAGCCGACGCCGTACTCTTCGCGTCTCTGGAGTACAATTACTCTGTCTCTGGTACACTTTCTTCCCCACCTCACTATTCGTAGTAAAGGAATGAGTAACCCGTTAAATTTTGGGTTGTACATATAACATATTTTTCTTATTTGAAAAGTCACATGGATAGAACAATCTGTCTTTATGGGTAAATTGTGATTGTGATAACCAATGAGATTATGTAGACATAGGATAGGAGACTCGCTCTTTTTGCCTGAATTCTTTGATTATATTTCATGTAACGATCAATTAAATATATTTTATTCAATTGTCTTATTCAATAGTCTGAATGAGATCAGCCAATTTCTTCCTTATTTCCCACCTAATCTGAATCTCCTCCTGTTCTATTCTGTTCCTACTTTCCCAGACCCACCACCGCATCAATTATTTGTTTTGAAATCACTTTTCTTTTTTATATGAAATCAAATGCATCAATTAATTGTTTTGAAATCACTTTTCTTTTTTTTAATCAAACGCATCAGTTAATTGTCTTATTATTGAATCGTCCACTTTTAGTGGTGGCAAGCCAACTGACAAAGCATCAATTTGCTTCTACGGTCCGATTTTATTCAGTGAAGTGGTCAATTCGTTATGCCGTGTTTTGGTATCGGTAGATTCTATCATCAGATCTAGTCGTTTAACTTTGATTGGGTAGAATCGATTCAATGATTTTATAAAATTTCTATAATTTTAATTGGTATGTATTTCCTTTGTTTTAATTTTTATTTTGAAGAAATTATATCAATTTCTGGGGAAAACATCATATCAATTTCCATATAGTTGGAGAATTTGTTTTCCAGACAACTCGTTACCACTCTACTACCCTTTGTTTAACTCAAAATTTAATTAAAAGTAACGCGTTCAACGTCACCTACAAAATTATGTCAATTTGTTATATATTTTTTGGAAAAAAATAGGACCAAATATACCATCATCTACTATGGTGGCAAGTGTTGGTAGGTGGTGGTTAGTTTATTCAAGTAATCATGCATCGCCGCCATGACGGAAAAGTTATTTGTGCATTAGTAATTATCATGGTGTAGGAAGGCGTAATTTTGCTTATGCCTATGTAATAAAAATCCGCCTCACCTAGGCCATAGATAGTAAATAAGGTGCTCATAATTAGAGATGAAAATAAAACTCAGAACTCACGGGTACCTTATCCGACCCAACCTCGTAAATGCGGGTAAAACTCATGTTGACGGGTTTCGGACCGGATTTGGGTTTAAACCCGATATACTTTTATCGGGTTGGGTTAGGTTTGGGTTTAGGGATACCCGACCTGTGGATACCCCCACCCACACTTATTCTGTTTCCCTACTCTTCCCAAACCCTACCCTAATTCTAATTTTCCCCAATCTAACTCTCCCCAAACAGGATAAATTCTCTAAATATTGCTTTATTTATTTATCACGAATATAGTGAATTAAAAAAGATTTACAAGAATATTGTGTTTTGAATGGAGGAGGAGGCGAATCCGCGTGAGTAGGTAAAATAGCATTATCCAACTCGAACCCGCCCCAGACTCGGGTGGATCCGCGTGAGACTCAAGTTTATTGTGTCAGAAAATATAAAAGAAGCAATTACGCGTGAGTTAAGCACAAATGAACAAGGGAATTGGAGGATTAATTAGGGGAATAAAAATGGAAAGAAGAGAGATGAATTAAGAAAGAGAAAGAGATGGATCAAAATTTAATTGGGAGATTAGGGGGTTGGATTGAAAATATGGATCAGAATTTAATTGGTCCCGTCTCTCTCCTCTTGTTTCCACTTTTTTAGCTCTTCAACTAATCCCCAAATTAGATTCTGGTTCTCTTTCTCTTTCTACGTCTATCTCTCTTCCTTCCACTTTTATTCTCCTAATTAATCTCCCAATTTTGTTGTTAATTTGTGCTTAACTCACGCGTAATTGCGCTATTATATTTTCTGACACAATCACGCGGATCCGCGCGAGTTTGGGGCGGTTTCGAGTGGGGTATGGCTATTTTGGCTCACGCGGATTCGCCTCCTCCTCCCTTCAAAACACAATATTCTTGTAAATCTTTTTTAATTCACTATATTCGCGGTAAATAAAAAAAATAAAACAATATTTAGGAAATTTATCCCCCCCAAACCCTACCCTAATTTTATTTCTTACCAATGTAGTGTTTCCTTTTTTCCAAAAGAAGTGGGAGAGATAAATTAATAATTGAAGTTGAACACACCATGTTTGTTGGTTTACTGTTTTCTCACAAACAAAAGGGGAATGACGAAAAACAAAGAATTGTGTGCTTTTATCTAGTGTAGTTGTGATTTGTTTGAATTTTCTAAACTAGTGTTTTATGTATGGGTAATTTGTATGAGGAAATTTATGTTTGACTTTATTTCGATAGAAACTTGTTATTGTAAATTTTTTACAACAAACACCCACGGGTACCTACGATCCCGGGGATACCCAACAAGTTGGGTTGGGTTTGAGTTATTAAAAAACCCAATGGGTTTTACCCTAAGTTTTTTTTTACTGATAAACCCATGAGTTTGGGTTTGGATTTGACCCAACCCAACTCAACCCGACCCATAGCCATCCCTACTCATAATGTCATACCGAGCTATAGTCGGTGCCCAGTTATGATTAATCATTTGTGGGACACAATTCATTCAGAATATGAAAATAAGGCATGGTTGTTTATGAAAATAAAACTTATACGAGTGGTTAACTTTTTTTGTATAAATGAACTACTTGGATTAAAAATTTAATTATTATATATATTATATTATTTATTATGTAAACCATAACGTCTTGTCTCATATTTTGGCTCCAGCGCCACTGAAGAATGCGCTTGATTGGGCGTCGAGAACTCCCAACTGCTGGGGTGGCAAGGCTGCTGCAATTGTGAGTGCCGGGGGTGGTTTTGGCGGTGGGAGATCACATTACCATCTTCGCCAGATTGGTGTCTACCTTGACCTCCATTTCATCAACAAACCCGAGTTCTTCTTGAACGCATTCGCTCCTCCTGCCAAATTCGACAGCAACGGCAACTTGATTGATGCGGAGGCCACAGAAAAACTCAAAGATGTGCTGCTCAGCCTTCGTAGTCACGCTCTTCGCCTCAAGGGTAGCTGATAGATCATCTTCAACAAAATGGCTAATACTGCATGTCAGAGCTTGCTACTGGATTCAATATTGATTTGAACACACGAATAGACACATTGTACAATGAGCAGCTCTGTGTATTGTGCCACTCCGGTCAGTGTATAATTTCATCTTCTTTTCCTATTCGAAAGCAGTCTGGATTCTTCCACCCAAAAATAAAAAGTCTCCGTTGTATTGCATTATGTTTGTCCAATCGAATGTGTGATTAAATTGGTGTTTTTTGAAGGTTAAATCTTGTATTAAGCCCTGATCGTCCCAAAAAAATAGTGGTGCCTGATTCGGGTCAAATTGTACACATTTTGTCCCTCATTTTTTTGATAGTTTGACTTCGTATTTCATCGTTCCTCGATAAATTTCACGCTAGATTGTGCTTGTTTTGATACATTTTTTATCCTAGCATGTGTGGAAGGGTCGATGACGAGTTTCAGAGCGATTTGAGGTCAAAAAAGCGCAAAAATCAAAGAAAAGTCCAAAGTGGCGACCGTGACAATTGCCCCGTGACAGTGAAGTGCGGACGTCCACGAACCAGCCGCATTTCACTACCAGAGCTACAAGTTTACGGTCGCCAGGACCATGAACTAGAACCTCAAACCGTGAACATCGAGGCGTTCGGGGGGGGGGGGGGGTCCAGTGGTTAATGACGACAAGGCAGTTCACGGTCGCTAAGACCGTGAACTTTGAGCATAAACCGTGAACCCCGGGAGGTGAAGCGGTGCGTTTTGGCCACGACACCGAGTTCACAGACGCATTTAGGTGTTCACGGTCGTGAACTGGAAGGCCGTGAACTGGGCGCGATCTCAGTATAAATGGAGTGCTGAAAGAAAGAAGAAGGAAGAGCTTCATTTTTAGGTTAGGTTTTCATTTTCAGAATACAGAGGATTCTAGTGAGAGGTTAGGGTTTCTTTTAGAGTGAGAAAGTGCAAATCAAAGGAGGAAGAAGGAGCTTTGGGCTTGTTCCTAACTAGAGAATTGAATATTTTTTCCATCTCAAGGGTGTCTCAAGCAACAAGGAGGAAAGATTTGCATCACTTCATGGTTCCTTCTTCCCCTTTTGTTGTTTTCTCTTGCTTAGTTATGGAATAGTCTACCTACTCACTTGGGTATTGTGAATCCTAGTCTCTTTATGTGTTAGGATGTAGGAACATGAACCTATTGTGTTGATTGAGTGTTTTATATGATATTTCAGATATTATTCATGAATGACTGAGAGTGCTAGCTTTAACTCAATATCGGGTAAAATTGACCTAGAGGGTGGAAATCCCCTTTTGGTCCAATAGGAAGCTAGACTTCTTAGCCACTTGGGTAACCTCCTTTAGGTCGATTTAAGGCTAAAATCTCCAGTGTCGGAGTAGGGTCGTGATTCAATCGGGATTGGTCTCTCCGCCGACCGGATTAAGTTATGAGGGTTTGGGTTGTAATCCTTAGTCGGCTAGTTGAGAGGGTTAGGTTTCCTAGCCTATCGTTGTCACCCTTAGCCGAAACGTTAAGAGAGTTGGCTTTCTAACTTGTTGCAACCATTCTCAGTTAGCTAACTAAGCGAGCTAGAGATCGCATTGGTTGATCGGTAAGAAGGGCTAGGTTCCCTTGCTATGAATCACAATCCTTCACCTAACGGTTAAGAGAGCTAGTTCCTCTAGCTTATAGTTGTTGATTTTCCTTCATTGATCGACTAAGGGAGTTTGTTCCTAGCTAGTTGCGCCCACCTTGCGGTGTATGAACACTTCCTTCACACTAGAGCTTTGTTTTTCGCTTCTTAGCATGAGACTAGGGGGAGCAATAACCAGGTGAAGTCCTCTCAAGTAGAATTCTCCTCCATTTACTTTCCTTGCTTGTTTAGTTTGTAGTTTTCTTAGTTTTAAACCCAAAACTGTTTTGCTAGATAACAACTTAAGCGATTGAAGTAGGGGTACATGGACCGGCCCGGGTTTGACAATTAAATACTTGCCCTATACTGCAGCCGGCTAGAGACTAGAGTTCAAAAACTTGGGCTCTCGTCGGGATTAATTCGCGGTGTAGTTCCGAGCGAGTCAGTGCCGAATCCAAATGGTTCCATACAAACCCTCAAAGGGGACAAATCTCAACTTCAAGTACTATATTAGAACCAAAAAACGCAAAAGAGAGCACAACCACCTTATTTGCTGCTTCTCTAGGCCTCTCTTCACTTCTTTGTAGAGATGTCAAGGGCAGGTTCGGGTTGGGTTTAATCAGGTTGTGATTTAGTCGTGTTTCGAGTTTGTTGGGTTGCGGGTTTATCGGGTTTGAGTTCAATTGGATTCGGGTTTAATCAGGTTGCGGGTTCATTGAGTTTGAGTTCAATCGGGTAGTGGGAAAATCGGGTTGCGAGTTTATCGGGTTTGGATCGGGCGAGTTGCGGGCGGATTGGGTGGGGGTTGTTCGGGTCAATGAATCGAGTTACTTACTAGTTACTCCTTACTCGCTACCAATTTACACATTTTATTACATTAATTTAAAATATTTTCACATTTTTTAACCAATTTCTTTCTACCTCGTATATATACTTAATTTAAAAAAAAAACTAAACAAAATGTTGAATCAATTTGCATGATTTGCAAACTTGTCATGTAATTAATAATAATTGGTAAAGTAGACTAGCTAATAGTAATGGTGATATCAACATTTGCAACCAATAGACACTATCAACAAACCATACATTTAGAAACTAAAACACCACTCTAAAAGTAAAGAAGAAAAACAATCTCAACATTTTTAGGCGACAATATAGACTAACCAAAACGAAAATTGGGTGGCTATATATATATATATCAATCCAAATGAAAATTCGGCGGCCTTTTGGAGCGGGAAGGAAGAAGTTGGGAGACAATATATATCAAGCAAAAAGAAAATTCGGCGATATTTTGCAACGGGAAGAGAAAATTAGGAAATAAAAGATGAATTATGTATATAATAAATTACAGACTTACTTCTGTGATGTGTGAAATATAAACTTTTTGTTTAACAAAAAATATATGAATTAAGGTTCATGGCAAAATTTTGTAAGCGTTGTCAATCACTAATCTTAATTTATTTCCATATGCAAAATCTAGACAAGGCACTAATGTTATAAACATCAGCTTATAGGAGATGGGAGTCGGGCTTAATAATAAATGAATTGAACGTTGGTACATCGAATTGAGGGGATTTTCTATCTTTTTTCATTATGGTAGGGACAAATTGTAGAGGAAAGCAAAATGAGAAAAACAAAAAGTGAGGAGGAAAACATTGGGAATGTGAAAAGTTGGGATAAAAATATCAAAATGAGGGGGAAATTTTTCCACCTAAAGGAAAATGTGGTGGGAAAATTAGCAAGTAAGATTAAGTTTACCACTTAAATGTAAAATAATATACATTTCAGATAGGATAACTGATTACATGTTCTCAAATCTACTATAGGGGTGGTAATCAGTTTGCCGGTTATACCATTAACCGGCGATACCAGTATACAGTGGCAATAATCGAGGCCTCGGTATAACGACTCCCATCCGGTAAATAACCAGTGGTAAATCGGTATACCGGATCTTTTCCTTTCCCTTCCACCAGAGCTCTCTGCCTCTCCTGGCTTTCCTTTCACAAATCGGTATATATCATATTTTTCTTTCCCTACACAACTATCTTCTTCCCCAATTTGAATTCTGACCTGCCCTTCCAAATCCAAAACAATCAACCACCAAATCCACAAACATCACCCACAAATCCCTGTGCAACTCTATTCTTCCCCATTTGACTCACACTTCTTCCCCAATATAACCTGCCCTTCCCCAATCTGACCGCCTCAAAGCCCCACGACCACGGTCTTGGCAACTCTGATTCGTGGACGAAGAGTAGAGATCTAATCGATGGCTTCCTACGCAACTCTCTCCCTCCACCAACAGCTTGCATGTTGCATAGAAGAGCATAGAGGTCTCCACCTTCCCTCTGATTCTCTTTGAAGAATGACCGTCAGCCAGAGCCGTTGGAGGGATAATAGAGCGGCGTTCACAGGCTGTCTTCTTCTATCCCAATGACGTCTCTGTCTCCGCCATTCTTCTCCTTCCCAGAAAGAAACCATAACCTTGGGTTTCAGTTAAAAAAACATCACCGCCGTTCACAAAACGTAGATCTAAAAAATATACCTATGTTATGTTCTTGTAGTCTTTGATGCCTTCTAGGTATGTATTTTATTGTTTTGAAGGTACAAAGCAGCCTAAGTAAGATTGGATCAAGCATTGAAGAACTATGGAGGACTAAATGAGCTATAAAGAAAATAATATGGAGCTTTTGTAAGAAAGATGAGGTCCAATGACACAGAAGTCAATTAGAAGTCGCTTAATAATCTCAAGACAAACCCATAGGAAGAAACTTGTGGTGGCCCAGCATCTGGCCCAAATGCTGTTGGGAGGAGGCTTGGTCAAGAAGTGCCCAATTTTGAAGGGAAGATCATTCAAGGTTTAGGAGACCCTTTCCTAGTCGATTTAGGATACTTTTACCTGGGTTCTTCTTATATAAATAGAGGGCATGATCCATTAGTTTAGTAAGGCTGAACAGAAACACAAAAACTTTTATACTCTGCTCAAGTAAGAGTTTAGCTTTCGTAGGAGAGTCTGCAGCTAAAAAGGTGATGTCATCATTGACGGTGGTATCCTCTTTCTCTTCTATGTAGCTAGATTGAAATTGATTGTATGAAGATGTGATGACATTTTTCTTTATGCTAATGAATGCTATGATTTCATCGCACGCTTGTATTTGTCTATTTGAATTTTGATGCCTATTGCCTATGTATGGATTCTTATGTTTCTATGAATATGTGATGGTCATTGACATAGTATGAAATGCTTCCTTATCATTGTTTCTTATGATTCTATAGTATTCTACTATATGCATTGTGCTTAGTATAACCTAGATTAATACGAAATTACCTTCTAGTGATACCCCATATGTACTATACAAGTATAGAGGCAATGATCAACCTTCTATACCTCGAGTAGTATCAATCCTTGATTATTAAATCATTATTGTTCTAGACCATCAATTATGGTTCGTAGAATCCTAAAATTAATCATAATCTTTACGGACGATTTGTTAGTTGTCACTAATGGGTCTGTAATAGGGGTAGCAGGTATTAGTAGGCTATTGATGGATTTTTACAAGATTTATGAACTAAGATATAATCCTACAAAATCAAATTATTTATGAAGGATTACATAAGTTTGAGATGGAAGCTATTATTCTATACTCTGGTTCTCCCGTACGAAGTCTCTCTGTCAAGTGTATTAGTGTGTCACTTATATTTGGGAAACTATCAAGTAAGGACTGTAAAGCTTTGGTTGACAAGATAATGATGAAGATCATGAGTTGATATGTTAAATCACTTAGGTGCAGGTAAAATTCAATTAATTGTATATTATCTCAAGTGTGTTGAACTATTGGATGAACCTATTCTCGTTGAACGCAAATGTGCTTGGAGAAGTTGAGAAAATTTGTAATGCTTTCTTACGGGGTATAGATGAAATTAGTATAAGGAAGAAGGTTGTTATCTATTGGGAATTCCTAGCTCATCCAAGGAATGAAGGGGGCCTCGGCATTCGTAATTTTATAGTTTGGAATCAGGCATGTGTAGTCAGACACATCAGGGATATATTGGTTGGTGGAGGGTCTCTATGGGATCTTTCCATTGAGTCAGCTCACTAGTGGATTTGGAAGAAAATAAAAACTATAGACAGGTTGTGTTGGGATACATTCCAAGCTCTGCCCCAAATCTACTACGGAATGACCAAGTAATGGAGAAACTTTTTAGGAAGAGGGTATGAAATACTTTGAGGCCTCATTAGGCGAAACTGCAATGGAATGAATTGGTGTGGAATAAAGCTATTATCCCAGCCATAGCGTCAAAGTTTGGATGGCTCTCCAAAATAGGTTGGTGATAATGGACAAGCTACAATGATAGGAAAAACAAGTCTCAGGACTTTGTGTTTTTTTCTTTCCGAGTGGCTATAAGAGTAGGGATCATTTGTTTGTTCAATGTCTCTTTACTCTTTTTGTGTTTTAAAGTGATGTCTTGGAAGCAAGGTTGTCAACCCGAGGGTTGACCCGGACCCGTTTGAGCTAGTGGGTCAAGGGTTAACGGGTCACCCGTTTTAGCCCGGAAATATGGAAAGAGTAATTATATTGTACTTATCCTGATAAATTACAAAAAATCTCATCTAACATATGAGTAATAACATATAACATTACACCAAAGTAACATGTCGTACTTAGATCCAACATATAGTGAAAATTCACACACACTTATATAACATCAATATTTAAATATTCAAATAAGGATTCCAAAAATTGAGTTAGGCGGAAAAAAAATCGGTAAATAGGCGCATTTCGCAAACCAAAACAAAAAATGACACAATTTGACCATCTAGCAATGAAGAGTTGAAGAAAAGGCTTAATTAGTTGTAGTTGGGATGGTGATTCATGTGTTCTTTTCAAGTTTTGTTTCTCTTCTATTATAGAGAATATATGTAATTTTTTGTTTCTATTGATGAGTAATAAAGACAGTGGGGAAAAAAAATCCTTTGTTTTGTGGTCGACCAATGTTTTTACAAAATTTTAATTCAACCATAAAAAGAGAGACGACCCCTTTCTATTTTCTTCTTCTTCGTCTTTGTTATGATGAGATAAAACAAAAAAGCAGTCAAACGCCACTACCTAATTTCTCCCCTTTATATATGATCGATGACACTTGTTCTAGTTTTCATGTCGGTTGTTGTCGTCCTCGAAGTTGGTGTTCAATTTACCTGTTGCAACTATAAGCCAACTGTGAAAGGAATTTTTTACAGTTGTGAAGTTTATCAAAATGAATCTGAGAAATTGAGTAAATAAGGAAATTCTCTGTTTTATGAATTATTTTTTTTATTTTAATCAATTTAATGTCATAGATTCTATTGTCGATGCATGGGGAATTGATCCATATGTTCCCACCCCCGCCCCCTGTTTAGTTGTGGGCATTGGAGTTGTGGTTTTTATGAATTAACTTTTATTTTAATCAATTTAATGTCATAGATTTTATTGTCGATGCATGGGGAATAGATCCATCTGTTCCCATCCCCGCCCCTATTTAGTTGTGGGCATTGGAGTTGTGGTATGAAGCAATGCAATTAACTTGACCTATTATTTCTTCTATTCTTGTAGTAACCCATTCCACTATTCTACAACTAACTAATTGTCTACATTTCATTCTTTCCATTACTAATGGAGAAGTGTAAAAAAATTCATTTATTTGAAGATGTAAATTCTAGAAAATAAAATCTTCCGTAGCTTCTACATTCTAATGGTGGTAGAAAATTTTTCACATTAGAAGTGCAACAAAAACATGAAATTACACAAGATATTATACACTCAATAAAAAGAACTGTTTGTGAAGAAAATATTGGAAAAGGTACCCTGAAAAATAGTCAGTTCTCCTTCTATACATCATTATTAGATCCCGGGAAAAAAATGCAACTTAAGAACCCCTCTACCCAATCTCGAGCACAACAGATAATTAAAAGAGAAAAAAAAAAAATAATGGAGCAAAATATAAATTTTGACGTTCTAAAAAGAATCAACTCAATAAACTTCTTGTCCTCTCCTCGTCCACCCTTTGTTAGCTTCTCTTAACTTTACAAATTGAATCATAGCTTCATTCTAATGGCTATGTACGTTGTTACCTCATTAATATGTATACACGTTGCTTGTTACCTTTTGAAGATCAGCTTTCTTCTACGAATACTTTAAAGATAAAGTCTCGAAAGCGCCTGGAGTATTGTTTTGGATCCACGGCTGAGATTGACGTTGGATCGTACTGCATTGATTTGTATGCATGCTCCAGCTTTTTGCTGATGTCATAGTCTTGTAGTATGTCTATTATGCCAAACGTCAAGATGACCTGATAGAGCTCCCCAGTTGGCTCTCCCACCAGCTGAGTCTCACCATCCCTTCGTACAGTTTTTTCAACCCTTGCTGGCATGTTCATTCCTAATTTGATTGACGCCCACCTGCATCCATATATCATATGTTAAGAGTGAGTGACGAGGACAATAGTAAGATGATGTTGGTTCACCTAATAATCAAAAAGAATGTTTAGCCAAATAAATTGTTTGGAGGTCAATATTCCGACCATTGATAGTTATCAAAATCTAGTCAAAATAACTTTCACGTCCAATATTATTCCATCCTCTCGAAATGCTCCCAACAATAGGTCTCCGAATTCGGTTACTTTTACTATAATTTGACTTAGGTGTTATGACTAATGGGTCGAACCCAATGGTCTTTTTTGCACTTATGCAGTTATAACGGTTTTGGATTTGGGTTGGGTCTAAATTGTATCTTATTTGGGTTAGACGCAAATGTGTCTAATTAGATCTAGATGATTGTATACACAAAAAATAGTATCAATCATATCATTACCTACCTTTAACCCAATTATACACCTTTATTGTAGTGTTTCCACCTTTCTATTTTGTCCATAACAAAAAATAAGACAAGTCGCATTATGATCAGATACCCATTTTCTATATATTTTTTAATTTTATGGAACCATTTTTAGACCAAAACTAAAAGTTTAGGTATGAATATGCTTAAAAAGTAAAATTATCCAAATTTATTTATTTGACTCATAGTAAATTAAATTTGGAGAAACCAAATATTAGCTACATTTTGCAATTATCACTAAGTTTCATTATTTCAAGAATTCATCTATTTTCCAAATGTACCATGCAAATAACCCGTAAAAAAATAAACAAATGACAATAATATCTCTCTTCATAATCGGAAGGTCCTCCACAACGCTAAAAGTCAAGCATATTATCCAAGCAATAATAGAACACTTTGAACATAAAACTGAAACAAGCATAGAATGGAACTGTGTGATAGCTTTACCGAGAGGGATCGAGAACGAGCTTATCAATCTCAGCTTTAGAAAGCCTTGGAGCTCCTCCTCCTACCACATCACTGTCAACATCTCCGTTTCCTGTGCACAAAAACATGTGACATTAATCTTTGTGCTTTATAGCAACAACGACGAGCGAAAAAGCAGCAGGTGATGAAGCAGAAGAAGAACTAACGAGTAGGAGTACGAGTTCCTGTAGGAGTACGGAGGCCAGTGGGTGTGCGAGCACCGGAGGTCCTGGGTGGGGTGGGGATATCCGCCCTGTGAAACGACTCCCGAAAGTGGATGCCAACCAGAAGACTGTAGTCCATCACCCTCTCTTGCTCCAGCAGCTCACAGTCTCTGTCCACTTGCCTGCAAAACTCTTGGTACCATACTCTCTGCAGTCTGAACAGGTAGTTGAGGTCCAGGTCCTTGAGTGTTGTTGAGGCGTCGATTTCTGATTCGGGTTTGCATGTGATGCGACCATGAGAAGAACCTTTCAAGTCAAACCTCCTATGAATAGCATACTCTGTATTGAACAGATTTCCCATGATAATAAACCGCACCTGATAGAGAGAGAGAGAGAATTGATTCAGACCATATATATAGAGCTTAATTAGTACGTAGGAGCTTGAACTACATTTATTACCAACTCTATCTTATCATATGTTGTATGTATGTACATTAGTTACCTTCTTCTGATTAGGCCCTGTTAATTTCACACAATGAAGACCGAAATATTTGGTGACAAGAGTGTTCTCGAACTGCCGCACATGGTTATAGTAAGCTGGCAACATTCTTATTAGTACCTATATGATTACATCGACAAGGTCAGGACGTAGACATGCAATATTATTGAATACAAACTAAGAGACAGTGCATATATTATATATAGATTAAACACTTGATTACTTTGACTTCGGCCTTCTTCATGGTCTTTATCATGTACCGATCATCATTCGTCAAGTAAAAGAAGCTTCCACTTTTCCCAGGAGATGAAAGTTCTCTAAGTGCGTCATCCCCACATATCGATATCATGTAGTCCGCAGGATCAACGTTGAACAGTTTCCTCAGAGTCCTGACAGTATATATAAGGCATCGTTGGTTGTAATCTACATTAGCATTCGCGGATGGATGGATGGATGGAACAAGGGAACACAATTTTCAAAACATTTGGAAACTGAGGCTAGCTAGCTTGTCTCTACTGACCTGAAAACTAAAGGGCAATAGTCCTTCCATCTAAACTCACAAGACTGGTGAGGCACCGTGTACTTGGATCCTTCGGGGGGAAATTTAGTCCACACCTTTTCTCTCGGATCAAAAGCTGACGACTTGAGATCAAGAGACGTCAGCGGAGGACCAGGTCGTCCTACTGAATGCCTGTCATATCATGTTACAAAAAGAAATCACCACACTAGCTAGCTAGCTAGCTAGTGAACCACACAAGAAATAATGGCAACCTCCAAACAGGAGTACATTACATACGTACCTTATTCCCAGCTGGAGATTGAGCATCAGCTCATAGTTCTTATGCCCTTTAGAAATGGTCTCCCCTTGCTTTTTTGCCGGTTGCAACCTCAGCTTGTTCAAATTCTCATTCACATTAGTATACCCATAATAAGACTCCTCCCCTTCCCCATCAAACCCGCCACCAACCCCAGAATCACTCCCTTCCCACGAACTCATACTGTAATTGCTCAACCTCCCATCCGCCGCCGATGAGTTCCCATCGTAGCTATGTGCTTTCATCTGTTTGAAGCTCCCAGCGTCAGAACCAGGTACGTAACACGCCTTCTGTGATGGATAAATGGAGGCAACCTCAGTTACAGAGATCTTGCAAGCCGATAGAGATTCCCCTAAGAAGAGCTCTTGTTGATCCCATTCTGAACCCTCCTCAGCCTCCTGCGAACCAGCAGTATAATAAGTACCACTCCTTTCCTTGGCCTCACCTTTGCTCCAAACACCAACATAGTAACCCCCATCCGCCCACCTATACGTCCCGTTCCCTTTAGGAAACCCATCTTCCCAATTACCATCGTATCTATTACCATCCTCAAAATTCATGACACCATTCCCATTCATAATCCCTCCATTCCACTCTCCCACATAGTTGGTCCCGCTTTTCCACTGGTACTTACCATGACCATCCTGCAAACCCTTCTTCCACTCACCATCATAACAATCCCCGGTAGCGTAATTTTGTATCCCTTGTCCATGTTTCAAATTCATAACCCAACACCCTTTGTAAGTATCACCAGATGAACCTGTGTAAGTCCCTATACCATCCATGTACCCTACCTTGAAATCGCCCTCGTAACTAGCACCGGACGGCCAAGTGAACCGACCTTTCCCTGTTGTCTTACCCTTTTGCCATTCTCCACAATACATGCACCCGTCTGTCCAAAGATATTTCCCAGAGCCGTGAGGGAGCCCTTCCAGCCACTGACCTGTGTAGAAGTCCCCGTTGGGTAACAATACCTCTTTCTGTTGTTGTGTTGTTGTCGTCGCTGTCGTTGTCGATGAAGGATCTTCATCGTCTGCATGAGCTACTGTCGCTGACATCATTGTCCCAAATATGGTATGTGATCGTTTTTTCGTGAATCCTTGTGACTTTCTTACCGTTGCTTCCCAGGCCTTCACAATGCCTTTGTACTCTTTGCTCATTTCTAGCACCAATCCCCTCCAAATATTTTCTTCTTCTCTTCCAAGTTTTCCTCCAATTCTTTATCTATTTTTCACTTCTTATAGGAAACACCACCATTTTCCTCTTTATCCTCACCTTTTAGTCTTTTATCAATTGATACTTCTTCAACGCCTACTTCATGTTTTTTTAACCAAAATTGAGATCAATGGAGAAAATAGGAGGATGACCAACACCTAAACAAATTTCAACAAAACAATAACAAGAGGTTACAATAGGTTATTGTTTTGCTTGTTTTTTCTTCAAGTTTTCTTTTGTTTACTTTCACTCCATTCAATTCCCTCTTTTTCTTTTCATTCTCCTTCACCTAATTGTTGATGTTCTTTTGACATATAAGAAAAAGAACAAATTGTTTTATGATTCAAGTATTTCTAGATCTTCAATGAAAACCTAACAAAAGAAGCAAAAGAAAAAGGACAAGAGATTTTTTATTTGAATTTAATGGGACAATAAAAAGGAGAGGATTGACATTAATGATTATCATTTTCTTTCCCTCCTTTTCTCCATTTTTCTTTGCCTTTTTTGTTCCCATTCACGCACACTCTTTATTTTTTTCACTTATTTTTGTTTATTTGTTTCAATTCCAGTTTTTTTTTTTTTGGTTGGGTGGGGATTGAACAAAGGACAAGCAATCTTTTGACATTCTCCGAATTTTGCTGCTTAAACTTCTGTCGAACCAAACAGATGGAGGGAAAATAATATAGATGGAAATTTTAGTGGGATATTGACTCTTTTGCTTTACTGATTTATTTTCCTACTTTTAGATAACTTAATTTAAGATTGAAATTTTTATAATTTATACTAATAATAATTCAAAGAACTTGTATTAGATACACAATTTATCCTTTCTCTACATTTTCTTCTCTTAACTTGGAAATATTTAGGGGTCGTTTGGAAGTTGCGAATGTTAAATCGTTGTATTGTAATGAATCACTACAATATAAATACATGCATTGATACAATAGATGCATTTTGACAATACATTGTTTGGTTGTTGAGATTCTAGTTTATGTATTGATTTGCATAAAGTTACTTTATAGGAAAATGTCACATTTACCCTTACCTTTTAGTATAAAACAAAAAATATTGGGGATATAAATGGAAAGAAAAAGTGGACACACATCTAAAAGGACAATCACAACAATCTCAACTTTTAGTTGAGATTGTATAATGCATCATTTTTTGTGATTGTTGGTGGGGCCTACACAAAACAATACATGCATTGTTTTACAACTTGACACTTCCAAACATTGTATTGTGCTTAATACATGTATTTAACAAACACAACTCTAACAATCACAACTTCCAAACGACCTCTTAGTATCCCAAGTAAATGGTGATATTGGGAAACAAGATTCTTCTGATTTAGTCCACAGAATAATCTTCTGCATTATTTGATTTGATGTGCTTCCATTTTCTCTTCTTCACATGTACATTTGACAAGAAGCAATTGTTTAATTGTATCTTAATAAAAAGTACATTGGACTTGTCTTATTCGTCGGAGTATTGTGTTTATTTTTACATAAGTTACATAAATCTATATTTGTGCTGAATATACTGAAAATTTCAATCTGTTGCATAATTAATATAGCAAATTTATCTACGGTTTGATATCATTGATTTATCGATAAGTTTCTGAAGATCATGAAAGCGACTCATTGCTAAAAATTTATATACTTGATTGAGATCTTACACTATGTCACTATTTAATTCCTTGATTGCAATACTGACGCAATGCTCGGTTATGAACTCTTAGTCCTTAATCTAATAGGAGATTTATTTTTCGGTGAGAAAATTTTAGTTGAACATAATTGATTGTACATTGATTTCTAATCAAGCGATTACTAAACACGGTGCGCACCTCTTTGAACAAAGTTCAAACAAGGGTGCTCAATATTTTTAATGATCCACGAGGTAAAGCTGCATTAAATTAATCTATTCCAATGAAGGTTCAGTAAGATCTACAAAATTACAATATGACTAAATTTGTAGAGAAAAAAGTGAAGATATAGAAAAGACATGGGGTTGTCTAGTGTGAATTTGGCAAACCCTTGCTATGTCATCTTTGCATCTTATTTAGTCACAAGAAGTAACTGCCTTGAGAAACTGCCCAGCTGATGTGGAGTGATTGTTCATCTCAACTACTCTGATGATCCCCTGACCTTGGTAGTGATCCTCTATTCAGTTTGTCCCCTCTTTATGATAGCTCTTTAGCTTTGATTGTCAGCCAAGAAAAATAACTAAGACATGAAACACCCCCCCCCCCCTCTCACATGTGGGTGGGTGTTCTTGCCATTTGTCAACCTCCCCACTCATCAACTTATGGGGTATAAAACACTCCTCCTTATCACAATAAGGGAGTTAGACCCTTGGCCAAATTACCAGACTAGTTATTTGGGTGACTATTGCAAGGCTACTTAGTTGGTAGTAGGGTTGGTAATTGGTCGGTTTCTGGTTAAACTGGTTACCGACCATCTAGTTTTTGGTATACCAGAAGTGGAGAAACAAACATTGACTACATGTACCGGTTTATAACCGGCTAGCCGGTACTGGTTATCAATCGGTTATACCAACATCTCGCCAAGCTGTCTCCGTGTTTTTGTAATTCATGTAATAAAATCATCTTCTTTGGCTATCATCTACACTAATCCTCCACTGCAGCACAAGTACTTCGGCTATCATCTTCCTCTTCCTCGTGAATTAAAAAACTCTCTTGATTCGATTCAATTAATAGAGAATAATTTTTACTGCCTATTACTATTTCCTTGCCCTTACATTTTTTGTTTATATGCAACCCACCATCCAGCTCCTACCGTTTGATCATATAATTAAAGGCTAATAATAAAGGTCTTCGCATATAAAAAACAAATTTATTTGGTGAGTAAAAAGAATATGCAGGCATGACTAGTTAGATTGTGACAAGAACATGAGGGAGGGAAAGTGAGTGGTGGCCTCAATAAGTGGATTTCGCTTACTAATATTGCTACTAAATGGATTTCCCTGGATCGGCTCCTCAATCCTCAAGCTTTACGTTTTCTTTTAGGCGCATGCATTGGATTAATCACTTGTTACCCAAGAATAAACAATGTGCAGGGTTGGCTTCAAAGCAATGGCTATGGCTTCGCTCGTTCCCTTCCTCTATGACTCGGCACCCCCTTTTTCTTCTATTGCAAAGTTTCAGTTTTTTCCAGATCTTTCTTCATTTGTTCTGTTCTTGTTGGTGCAACGCACAAAGCTAGCACGAAATTTAATTGTTTCAATCTACACTCACAAGTGCTTATACTTCTTCGCAATCGATTTCTCAAGCAAAAGAAACAGGGGAGCAGAGCAGTGCAGACTGTGGAGCAACAACGGCAGCGTTGAGCTTAACAGAGCAACCAAACATCAGCAGAAGAGCAAACTAGTGATACAGCAGCAGAGCAGAGCACAGCTGAATCCTAGTGGGGAAAAGGTTAAAAATAGAACATTAATAATCAGTTAATCTGATTATCCGAAAAATAGTCGATCAATAACCAAAAATGATATAGTATACTGGGTGCTACCAATTTTCTACTGCCTATTGGTTCTACCAGTTAACGGTGTAACCGATAAGCATCGGTTACCGGTTTGGTAGCCGATTATACTGTTAACCGTATAACCGCTAATAGCCCTAGTTGGTAGTGCCAATACATAGACACCCCTTCCCATCATTTAATTCCACATGATCACCTCTTTTCCTATAATGGACATTATTGATGACCCCTCTTCATCATACCAGGGGTATGTTAATGACACCAATCCATCACTTGAGTGTTCTCAACACTTAGTCAAAATTTTGCTCTCATCACCATGTTACACATTATCTCCATCTCTCCTCCATACGTAGAAAAATTCCCCCATCTCATCTCATCACACCAAAGGGAGCCTCATGATGAGGGTGGGTATGTTCATGGCACATTGGGATATATAGATGACCCCCTCTCGCCACATCAGGAGGGGTACTCTGATGACCTCCTCCCCTCCTTCTCACACCAAGGGTCTCAACACTTTGTCAACTACGACCACATCATCGGTGCACTAGCGGAGGCATGGTGACCTCCCTCTTTTTTTACATACATAGCCCATTTCTACCCAGCTCGTTGGACTATGGAGGTATGGTGATGATCACCACCCTCCCCTCATCGCATACTAGGGGGATTTACTGATGATCAACCCCTCCCCTCATCACACCCAGGAGGTACTCCACACTTAGCCAATTTTACCTCACCTTATTGCATTAGGGGTATACTAATGACCGTCCACATCACACCATGGTGGATACTCCAACCATTAGCAAAATTTGGAGTGTGGCATGATGAGTGCCATCAAGCTCTGTTGGTATCATATTGGAAAAGTTGTACCTTGACTGCAGTCAAAGACAAGCCAGGTATTCAGTGCAGGCTCTTGGCACAATCATAAAGGATGATAGACTCAAGTTTCTCTTTATTCTATACAAGAAGCTCGTTGGCATAGCTTTACGTGTTGTTTTCCAGTCTTTGGGATACATAACACAAGCAATATTTCGAGTTTAAAACTAGAGAGACCGAAATTCAAGAACTTCTCTAAATTGCAGCATTGCTTTTCCATGGTTACAACCAATTTATTATTAATATCGTAAATTTCTTATAAAAGAATATATTAAACATAATGGGGAAAAGGGGGCTTAAGGACCATCTAAAAAACATTATCATGAAAACCTTTGTTGAGAATTCCACGCAACCCCAAACATGTGTAAATAAATGTCAGGGGCACTTTTATTTTCTAAATCGTTTTTTTATTTTTTTTATTTTTTCAAAATAATATGATTAGTATCTAAACTCTTCACAACAAAAAACACAAAAAAAAACATAACAAAAAAAAGTTCTAAAAATACGGGGAGGTTCCAAAGGTGACGTGGATAGGGTTCCTTTCTCAGACCGCTTTATTATATTTTTAGATTTAGGATGACAGATTTCTTTGGATATGTAAACTGTGACTTTCGTCGTATCTTAATTAACCCAAATATATGGATTTTAGGCCATTGGGACATAATAATTACACACTACTGGCTTGTGTTCATCGTTTTCCTTTCAATATGCACATGATCTCTGATTCTCTACTTTGTCGAATTTTCTTTAAAAAATTTGGAAAAGCCAAATATATTTTTGGACAAAGACACAATTGCTCAATTTGGTTTTCATTCATTCATCAAACAAAAAACACAGAAATTGCTCGATTTGGTTTTCATTCATCCATCAAACAAAAAACGCAGAAATTCCTCGATTTGGAGGAATGCAGTGTAACGCCTCTATTGAAAGAAGCGCAGGCCAATCCGATTCATGATCAATGCTCGAGAATAAAAGGACTATGTTGTCTATCTGATCACCTCCCTCTCACATAGACTGAACCCAAAATGTTGAGGAAGGCGATGGGTCATGTCACAGCGGACAAGGATGGAGGTGGGAATTGAAGCTTTGAATATGTTAGCCATGGGTATTTGAGGCATCCGTCGTGTCTTCGTCTCTAAGATTGTTGGTGAATGCATTGGGCTCAGGTTGATTTTCTTGAGGTAATTTCTTTTAATTTTTATGAACATCATGAGATAATTTAGCCTTCTTTTTCTCATGCCACTTTTCCCCCTCTCACTTTGGATTCCTCATGAATTTTGATTTCACCTTCTACATTTTCTTTTGATAAGGAATATCCTTTTTTGTTACGTTTGGATGTTTTGGAGAGGTGGAAAGACTTTCAATAGTTTTGTTTTAAGAGCATTTCTTTTAGGTGTCAGACGTAAAATTATGTTCATCAACACTACATGAAGTCATATGTGATTATTATATATATACTTAATTCTATGGGTGTTTCTTAAGAGTTTTTATTCATTGTCAAGGTTGTATTACATGCATATGCAATACGAAAATTGGGTTGAAAAGGTAATGAAATATACTATTTACCAGGATTATTGGATGAAGATGGGTTCTTTCTTATTTCTTTGCAGTGATGTTTACTACAATGACTTCAAGTGACTTTGCTTCCTTGATCAAGGGTCGCAAGCTTGATCCAGGACTACTGAAGAGGTTGAATGTTGCAATGTTAGCTATTAACCAACTTATTGAAGTTGCAGATGAGAAACAACTCATAGACGATGCTATTAGAAGCTGGGTTGCTGAGCTTAAAGATGCTGCCTATGATGCTGATGACTTTATTGATGAGCTTGGTTATGAAGCCATTCGAGCTGAGGCTGAAGCTGCATCACAAACTGCCACAGGGAAGATGTTGAGCTTTTTCTCCTATCGTAATCCTTTCAAGGATGGAATTAATGGAAAGCTGAAGAAGCTTCTTGAGAGGCTTGATGGCCTGATAAAGTTAAAGAACACGCATGGGTTGGATGTGGATACCGGGAACAAAGTATTGACTACAAAACCTCCTACCACTTCTCTTGTCCTTGAATCTTGTATTTATGGGAGGGAGGCTGATAAGGAAACTATTATGAATTTACTGCTCTCCAATGATCGAAGTAGTGATGATTTGGGCGTCATTACAATTGTTGGAACAGGTGGTGTGGGTAAAACCACGCTTGCTAAGTTGATGTACAATGATAGTAAGGTTCAAGAGCATTTCCAAGTAAGTGCTTGGATTTGTGTCTCGGAAGAATTCGATGTCAACAAAATAACAAAAGACATACTTGAAGAGCTTAGCGGAAAGGCTTCTGATAATCGTACTTTACATCAGCTACAAATTGAGTTAAGAGGTCGATTGACACAAAAGAAGTTCTTGCTCATTCTAGATGATGTTTGGAATGAGAGTGATCGTGAATGGGATTTGCTACAAACACCTCTCAAGTATGGTGCAAAGGGAAGTAAGATTATTGCTACGACACGACATTTAAATGTAGCGTCAGTCATGTCAACCACTGACACATATCATCTAAACCCATTAACAAGTGATGATTGTTGGATGATATTCTCAAGCTGTGCATCTCTCGATGGAAATTTAAGTGCACGTCCAGAGTTGGAAACTGTCGGTAGACAATTAGTTGAGAAATGCCAGGGTCTACCTTTGGCTGCAAGAACCTTAGGAGCTCTCCTACACACCGAACAAGATGTAGAGAAATGGGAGAAGATATTGAAGAGTAACCTATGGGATCTACATGATGAGATTCTTCCAGCTCTTATATTGAGCTATCAATATCTTCCATCGTACTTGAAACAATGTTTTGCTTATTGTGCAATTTTCCCGAAGGATTATAGATTTCAAAAGGAAGAACTAGTTCTCTTATGGATGTCTGAAGGTTTCATAAGTTCACCCGAGGTCGAGAAAGAGTTTGAGGAAATAGCTTCGGAGTACTTCGATCAACTTGTATCAAGGTCATTCTTTCAACAATCAAGTGGGATGGCTACTTGTTTTACTATGCATGGCCTAATTCATGATTTATCTGAATATGTATCTGGCGAATTTTGCTTCCAACTTGATGGCAATGATTTATCAAAGATCACTACAAGGACTCGTCACTTAAGGTACGCAAGAACAACTAAAGATGCTTCTAGAAAAATTGAGGACATCTACAGAGCTCGAGTTTTACGCACCTTCTTTTCATCAAAGGCAATATGGTGGAATGTTGATTATAAATCCATTGACAATGATGTAATTAATGGTCTCTTGAGTACACTAAGCAACTTACGCGTACTATCTTTTTACGGATACAAAGTAGTTGAGTTGCCTAATTCAATTGGTAACTTGAAGCACTTACGTTATCTAAATCTCTCCCTGACTTGTATAAAGGAGTTGCCTGCAATGATTTGCACCCTTTATAATCTGCAGATTTTGATTATGCAATCTTGCAAAGAACTTGAAGTATTGCCCGACTCAATCGGTAAGTTGAAGCAGTTGCAACATTTAGATCTCTGTCAAACAGCAATTGGAATGTTGCCAGACTCCGTGGTGTTGTTGACCAACTTGTATCATCTTGACCTTACAGAGACAAAACTACAAGAGATGCCATTGCAAATTGGAAAACTGACAAAACTTCAATGTTTAACTGATTTTTTTGTGGGAAAGCGCAGTGGCTCTAGCATTAAGGACTTGGAGGAGCTCCACCACCTCCGAGAAACACTTCGTATTTGGAATCTTCAAAACGTTGTAGATTCGGCAGACACATTTGGATCTCCTTTGAAGAGTAAGAAGGACCTTAAAAGGTTGGAGTTAAGATGGGATGGGGACGCTGATGACTCATCGCATGAAGTAATGCTAATGGAGAAGTTGCAACCATATGTCCAATTGAGTAGCTTGAATATTGATGGTTATAGAGGAACAACATTTCCAGTATGGGTTGGGGATTCTGCATTCACACATATAGTCACCATGGAACTTGCTGGATGTAAGAACTGTTATTGCCTACCCTCACTTGGTCAGTTGGTGTCTTTAGAAAAGCTATCTATCAAAGCATTTGACAGCCTCCGAACTATTGGTGAGGAGCTTTATGTGAGCACCACATCTACAGAGAATCCATTTAGATCCCTTAAAACTTTGGAGTTTGAGGACATGCCGGAATGGGAAGAATTGACTCCTTTTGTGGCAGAAAATGTTGGTGATACTTTTCCACTCCTAGAACAGCTTTACTTGACTAATTGCCCAAAACTGAGGCAAACAGTGTCGAGCCATCTTCCCTCGCTAGAGACACTTAGGATCAGAGATTGTCAGCTACTCAGGATACCTTCACTTCCTAGCAAATCTGTTGTTTTTAAAATGGAATTGAGGGACATGTCACGTTCGTTGATGCTAGAGACGTCGACAGATGGGATGCATTCAGTTCGCATCACTGGGTATGGCTCCCAGTACGCAGGAATCAATGAAATGGAGCCAATTAACTGTCTTTCGACTACTTTAGAAGAAATTGACATTGAAAAATGTCCGTCACTTAAATGCTTCCCGCTAGAGTTGTTCCCAAAATTGAAAAGTCTTTCTATAAAGAATTGTGAAAGTCTAGAATCCTTATGTAATGAGGAGGAAATTCCCAAGGATTTGGATTCTTTGACTTCTGTGAGAATTTCAGAATGTCCTAAATTAGTATCATTTCCCAAAGGAGGATTACCAGCCCGAAATTTGAATGATCTTGCTTTGTTAACTTGCTCAACTCTAACATGTCTACCAGATTCTATGGACTCACACCTTCCTTCCCTTATGGAGTTAACAGTGGGTCAATGTCCTGAAATTGAGTGTTTTCCAGAAGGTGGGTTGCCCTCCAAATTGCAAATACTGAAGATTTGTGCCTGTGATAAACTCGTAGCTGGGCACATGCAGTGGAACTTACAGTCACTCCCCTCTCTTTTGTACTTCAGTATTGATTCCAACAAAGAACTAGAATCGTTCCCGGAGGAGACACTGCTCCCTTGCACCCTCACCACTCTTGGGATTTTGAGCATCCAAAATTTAAAATCTTTGGATGAACAAGGGATCCAACAGTTGAGTGCTCTTAAAGAGTTGAAGATAAGTGCTTGTCCGAATTTGGAATCTTTTCCCATTGGGGATTTGCTACCCACGTTAGAATCACTCGAGATAATTAGTTGTGACAAACTTGTATCCGGTCGATCGCAATGGAATTTACAGGCAATCACATCTCTATTGCAGTTGAAGTTTTTTGAAAATGATGAAGTGGAATCACTTACAAGGGAGATGATGTTACCATCCTCACTAGTCTCTCTTGAGATCCGAGATCTTTATAGCTTGAAATCATTGGAAGGCCTTCAACAACTTACTTCTCTTAGAGATTTGAAGATTTATCGTTGCCCCGATCTTATGGCCATTCCAGAAGAGGGCCTTCCATCATCACTCTCTTCCATGTCGATCCTCCGTTGTCCATTCCTTGAGCAAAGGTGTCAACAGGACAAAGGTGAAGATTGGAGCAAGATTTCCCACATTCCAAACTTAGAAATTGGTCACTATAACATATAAGAAACTTGCCTCAAGATTCCCAAAGTTTTTCTTAATCATGCAAAAGGCTAAGGTATTTTTCATTAAACATATCTTTTGCATATTTGATGCACCTAACTCGATTTTTTCTAGTCATTTTTCAACAACCAAGGGTTACTATTTATTGTTAATATGAATAATTTTGATTATTAATTTAATTGTAGATTTGGGTTTGAACTGCTTATAGGTTTGTGATGAATGGAGATTTACGTCACACTTCTGAAGCATATGCATATTTGATGACTACGTAATGAAAGTCATATGAACAACTAGGAACCCACTAAACTCAGCTGGTTGGCCCGAGTACTCGTTCCTTGGAAGTAATTGGTTTGTGCAATGGGATACAAAAAAAAGTAATTTCTTGATCCTAACGGTAATACCAGTACTTGAGAAATGAAATGAAGAACACACGCCTCATCGATTATTTTTCTTTCAATGACAAGGGCTAGAACTGTAAAAATATCCAAAATCTTTGAACATGGCTGGTAAAAATCATTTTTCACGAACCCATATCCTTTGAGGAAGAGGCTTCAACTTTGTTAAATTTTCAGGTAATAGAAATTATGTTATTGTTTATTTTTTCTATCTTACAAACAAATCTTTTGTGGGTATCATGCATAATTTCAGTTACTGGTTCTAATGATCTTACCCTTCTTGTGAACTTTGAGGTAGGTAGGTGTGTATGTAGAATTTCAATAATACTTCACTCCCAGATTCACTAGAAGCAGTTGTCCTATTTTTATTGGCAATTAGGAAAGAGAGGAAGGATTAGCATTTCAATTTCGATAGACAGTACGTTCGAAATTGGATTATGTGGACATAGTCTCCAACCTTATCTTGACGCAAGCTCCATTTGGTATGCACTAATACTCTTGCTTATCATCTTTCAAAATCCTTCCATAAAATCAACCCACCCATGATTCCTTTAATATTTGTACTTAAAATCACAAGTCGATCAGAGGGAGAGGACAGATTTCTTACCAAAGAAATATGTAAGCACTAAAGTGATATAATAGCCTTGTACAATCTTTTTTCGTTCTAAAGTCAGAAATGCTTAGACAACAAAGCTCGTCTGAGTTACTTTTGTGATGTTTAATACTCACTTGTGTAGATGGGCGGTGACATAACAAGATGAAGAAAAAATGAACAAGTTTAAACTCGGGAACTTCAATTGGCTGAATTTAACTTGTTCATGTTATGAACTAGTTTAGTTGGCTACTTACATGCAATGTTTTCCGAACTATAAATTCGTCGATAAATGTACTTGAGCTCGAAACTATACACGGTTTCTTGTTAACCTGATGTTTATTATTTCACATGCCTGGAGCAACCAACCTTTCCTTTAAGAATAGTGGTTTCTTCATTAGCGGTCTGCAAAGAAATTAAATTGTAATTGTTGTGGTTTCATGCTTATATGTATGTGGACAAAACTTAAGCTAAGATCTCAGGTCTAATGAAATGAAACTGAGATCTTTATCGGCTTGATTTAAAAGATGAAGGAGTTTATTAAGTTCTTGAGTTTGAAAAATTAAGAATTGGTGATGGATTTGAATTATTAAGAATTTTTAAAAAAATTGTACCTATTAGTTAGAGTTTATGATGGACTGTGTTGATTTCCATTTATCTTTATGAAAATCAAATTACTTTATTATCCTCCATCTCACAAAATTTTGTTGATAAAATCATCTATATATTTAAGTACTCTTAAAAATATTATTTTTCATATTATTCCCCATGTGATGGATTTTATTTTTTCCAAATTGGACCAAAATTTTTTTATAAATGTAGATGACGTACTTTCTATGATTGCGTCAGAATTGTGCGATATATGCCGTGTGCCGCCTTATCACAAAGGTGGCACTTGAAAAATGATGGGAAGGGGCATGTTAAAAAATCTTGATTGGTCATTCTCTTTCATGCAGACACATATATGACGCGAGATCTTTATCCCGCAGCTGAGATGCAATTAATTGAAATCATTGCAAAGGGTCATGATAAGCATCTCTAAAATAAGCTATCCCCAGCTATAAATACACCCTACTCCAACTTTTTTACACGCCCCAATCTTCCCAATCCCTTGACGAGCGACACATCCTATGAAGTACAAATTCTAGGAAACCCCTAACGAACCTCCCCGGCAAATTTCTCTTCTCTAGCGAAAACTTCTTCCCGTGAATGATGTGTACTACCAAATTTTTAGTATTCTAGTGTCTCTCTATAACTTCTTTCTTATTATGGTTTTTCGACTAAAATCATTGACGCAATGCTATAGAATAATGTCTTAGTAGAAAACCGTGATTACTCGATAAAAACCCTTGTTTGTTTTCCATATTCCTTTAATTTTAGTAAATAAATTCATAGGTACCTAGTAATATTTAAATTTTCTTTAAAATTTACTCTTTTCCATCTTTTTGTATGATTTATGAACGAGAACAATGAGGAACGCTATAAGATTTATGTCTTAGCAAAAAGTCACGAGTACTAGATAGAAATCGTAATTTTTTTAAAATGATGGAGAATATTGCGTTTTATTATAAACAGTTGTTCATTATTTCACTTTATAATTAACTCATGATGTAATGACGTTTGGAGTTTGTTGCAAAATTTTCTCATTCTCATACAATATTTAAAGTGTATGATTTATCAAAGAAAATCAATTGCGGAAAGTTATAAGATTAATGTCTAGTATAAATCCATGATTATTTAGTTACTTTCATTGTTTGTTAAAATCATTGTTACCTTACATTATAATAGATATATTATTTAGGGAATATTTACTTCATGATTTTGTGAATTTTGAATTTTTTGAATTTGTTACATGATACTATTCGAATGACCATCTGATGTGCAAATCAAGCTATAATTCTAGGATGTCCTAGGATCCTATTCCACAAGGTATTCTAATGCACAACTACTCACTAATTAGAAAGGTGCAATAACCAAAACAGAACACAGACTTTTACGTGATATCCCTGAAGTTCAGGACTAGTCCACGGGAGAACCAAGTTCTCCGGCTACTGATCTTATTAATCGTTTTTACTCATGTTCACCTTACATACATATATATATATATATGGGTTACACTCGTATGCGTCAGACACATACTATGTGACAGGATTTCTACACCGTAGATCTAATCTAACGGTGTTTATTAATTGGAATTAAATTATTTAATTTTTACAATTTTTAAATGATTAGTTGGTCCTATTACTTTTTTATGCGTACCCTTTAACCCCTAAACAAACTTTTCAACATATTTTCGAATTATAGTACCAAATTTTATTCTAATTATGTCTCCAATCCATTAAGTTATATTTACTTACAATTTTAGTTCGGTGATTTATTCCTTTTGCCAGTCATGTAAACGCTCAAACCCCCTTTCCAATTGTTGTCTGTAGTGGCTGACGAACCCTCTCCTCTCATCCTGGCTATCGATTGAAGCAATTGGGTTTTGCGCTTCCCATCGATGTTTAATCCCTCTATGGATTAAGAGAGTGATATGTTCGAGGCATGATGGATTGAATCTTGTGCTCGAGAGGCGGATGAGGAAGGATCGGAGAAGTGAAGAGTGCTGACTCGAGAGGTGGGCCGAAGTGCGGATCGCCGATAGCGGTGGGTAGGTACGCTGACGTACGCTGCCGTCAATTGACGGTGAACGACTATGACCTTTACGTCCTGTAAACAATGAGTAAGGCTGAAATGGAGAGAGGGGATTGGGTCTCGTCAAGGGAATTCTCTTGGTCGGAGTCCAGAATCGTAACGGAGTAAGAAAGTTTGGACGATGAAGAGAGACGGCCGTCGGATTACGGTGGCGACGGCGGCAACTGGATAATTGGGAATTTGGGGGGCTAGGGAAGACGACGATACATGAAAAAACGGCATCGTTTTGTGCTCGTATCTGAATCGAAAGTGGCCTGGAGAACGGCGTCGTTCTATAGGTGTAGCTGAAAACAAAAAAATTTTGTAATGGTATGAGGGTCGAACCAGCGTCCTGGTCATTACCATGGGCAATCTTCACCATTCATGCTGAACAAGGATTTTGATTCAATATACTTCCACTGTTTTATTTATAACTATAAAATGAGCTCTTGTAAAATTAAAACATAAAACTAAACTAAGCAGGCCTTTTGTACCAGGCCCAATAGGTGATGTTGGATCTTCTCGCTTGGGAAATTTCCTTCAGTCGAGCCTCCTCTTTGTTTGTCTTGCTTGCTTCTCTTAGCTGAACTTGCATATAATTTTCAGGTTCTTGATTAGATATGCCGATTGATTGATGATAAATTCAGAGACTCGGTGTTGTTAAGCGTTTGCCGAGCATCGTTGGTAGGTCTTCAAATTCTCTTTTGTACTTTGAATTCGCAAACCTTCCATTAAAGCTTGTATATAATTTGTACACATTATCTTGCTACAGTAGGGATATGTTTGGGTCTTGCTTAACTGAGGCCCCTCTCGTGCATTCTCTGATTTAGATGTTGTTATGATGGAAGAAGACTTCGATATCTTGAAGGTCTATCATTTCCTCTGTCTCTCTCTCTCTCTCTCTCTCCAATGCATATGTGATATGTGTAATTACGTATGTGTTCGGGGCATAAATAGTGATGGCCGAAATTTTTTTTGGTCCAGTGGAGATGGCCTCCCTCATTCGGTGGTGGAGCCAAACGCAATAGAGGAATATGCTTGTAAATAGGCTTGTCATTGGTGGGGATTTAATCTCTACTCCTTGTTAATAGGCTTGCTTTCCTTAGTTGGATCAGTTTAGGTGTCAATAGAGGAATTCTTTTTTTGGACGTAATGGTATTAATAAATTAGGTTTGTTTGGCGGTCTATATAAAGGGACGCCAAGCCTAGAGTTTACCTTGTAAAAAATAACTCCTGCCGTTTTCCCTGGTGACTTTAGCAAAAGTAAGGCTTTTCTTCTGTGCTGGCGGGGAGATAAACTAATTGCAATGGAGAAATCTCGGTACAGTGCAACAACTAAAATA